GTAAAAGGAGTGGGGAAATCCTTCTAATGAAAAGCAATGCCTTGACATATGGGATACTTGCTCATTTTTAAATCCAAGGCACATCTTAGATGATTTTTCTCCAGTTCTTCTATGAATCAGTGTTGCTCTTTCATTTCCAGGTATACATGGAAGAGTAGAGATCCCCTTCCTGCATCAAACAATCAGGGCCAATCTACGTTTCTAGTGATACCCATTTGCCAGAGAGTGTCTGCACCCCAGCTCAGACTTAGGTTTCATAGAGTCCCATGGTGAGAGTCCCAACTCAGTGTATATTATTTGTATTATGTTTTGTTTTATTTTATGTAAGCCATCCCAAGACTATGCAATGGGGCGGCACACAAATACTCTAAATAAATAAATAAACACATGCACTTCAGTATCTCCCAATGAATCAAACAGAGCATTCAAAGACTTTAGCTGAGCTGTGCCCACAGTTTTTATCAGTTCTATGAGATCTGCTTCACAAAAGCAGATGGGGCTCCAGCTGGACTGAGATGGACGAGTGAAGTTGGCACTTTCCCCCATTTCTCCACTTGAAATCTCCCCTCCCCCCCCCACACCAAAATCTTCAAACTTACTATTAGCCCTGTTGGGTGAAAAAAGACATCATACATGTGCTTGTTTTTACCCTACAGCCTTAATGACAGCTTGAGAGGGGTGGAGTGTGATTGTAGTTGGTAATGCCATGATACATGATAGATATATTAATTAATACCCTCTTTCTGCTGCCTCAGTCTAATCTCTCCTTAGAGATCCAACAACTTTTAAATAAATATCAGGAGATCTGAATTTCAGGAGTGAATATCATCATCATCATCATCATCATCTTTTGCTTTTCTAGTTTACTCAGGTCAGCTCATAAATGGCAGTCGTTTAAGCAGGATCCTCTCTCCCAATGTAGATCCATCAGTAAATTGTAGCATTGGAAGGAAATTCAAGTTAAGGAAACATGTTTGAGATTCTTCCCACCTTCAAACTGATTTAACCTCTGAAAACCCTAAAAAACAAATCTGCAGCATGCTAACCTGTACATGTTCAGTATGAGAAAGCTAACAAGTAGATGCAAATATGATTAACATGTTTTGAGTGGTGCTGCTAATTGGCAGTTTCAGGAGCAATTGCAGTGTCTGAACATGTTCTTCAGTGCAAGAAACTGTATTTACTGTATGCCTCGTGACTGCAGCTACATTCAGCAAGTGGGACAGTTCTGCTTCACTAAGAGATTGTGATACTGATCTTAATTAGCTGTTGTTTTGACAGCAATCTGGGAGAAGGTTTTTCTTCCACTTCTCTCTAGACAAATCAAAAGCACTCTTGTTTTCATGAAAATATTATGGCGTGATTCAAATAGGAGGAAGGAAAATATGGAAGACCAACATTCTGTCTTGTTTGAGAAAGAGCAAATATATCTCAGAGCAAGTTCAATATTCTGTAACACATTTTGCCTGCCAATTCAGGGTGGCACATCATGTGTTTGCAGTAGTATCCCTCACACTTTACTGGTTTTCCTCAAAGTGCTTATTGTGACTTATGGGATGAAACACTCTGTTTTCAAATGAGTTTCCACAGCTCTGGCCTATCTACTCTCCATAGCAGCTCCATAGAGCAACGAATACCGCTGATAATTAAAATAGGAAAGAGAGTAGTCAAAATGGAACTTTGGTATCTTTCTTTCCAGTGAACTTTGGGTAAACCCAAGGAGTCTGCTGGGCAAGATATTGAGAAATCTGGAAGACAGTAAATAGCTTTGTTTGCCGCACTGTCAAATGAACTCATCCTGAAATGAGCATTATCAGGTAGGGCAGGAAATCCTGAACAGGTTTTGCTTCCAGGGCTAACAATCAGGGCTAGAGGGAACAGTAGACTGACTCAAAGGGAGGCACCCGGAGCATCATCCAGGATGGCTGCCCCTAACTCTGAATTCACTGCTCCTCCTGCTCTCCAAAATATTCAGATAGCTAATTTTGGTTATCCAAGGCAAGGGTCCTCAAACTATGGCCCGGGGGCCAGATCCAGACCTCCATGCCCATTTATCCGGCCCGCCATGCTCATTTGGACCCGCCGTGCACACCTGCCACTACCTACCTGCCCCGCACACGGGGAGGCAACAGTTTGTTCGCTCGGAGAAAAACCATCTCCAAGCAAGCAAGCCGCTGCCTTGTGTGCTCACCTCGCGGCACATGCCCACCCCGCCACGCCTGCCCGTGCCTCGCCCCCGCCCCAGCCCCCTTGCCAGCCTGCACACATCACCGGCACCCCCTTTCTGGCCCGCGCCCAGCACCAGCACCTTTCAACTGGCCCCCTGGTGAAAAAGTTTGAGGACCCCTGGCCTAAGGGTTTTATACTGGCTCACAAAGAGAGGAGCAGGAGGCACCATCAGGATTCCACCTAGGATAGCAGTGCCTCGCTGCTCCCCTTCCTGCCTCCCCTGCACCACTGGCTCCTAGGCTGGCCTTACAACCTCAGCACTGCAGCCCACGTGGAGAGAACCAGGATGGAGGAAGGGTGCTTCATGTGTCTTAAATCATGGTTAAGTCTTGTGGGGATATTGTAATAAATAAGAGTTCCTTTAATGTCCTTCATCATTCCCTGCAGAATATTAAAGTTGCCCTGTTTGTCCTGACTATTAAATCAATAGCAGTATTCATTACACTCAATGTACAATCTGCATTGCGTCATACTGATAATCTTTTCTAGGTTTGCTTCTTAGCAGGTAGATATGAGTTCCTCAGTTTAACAAGCATGCTGAGCCTTCCCAAAAGGGGAGTTATTTATCCATCTAGTGAGGCCAACCACAGCTGCATATTTTAAATATATATATTTATTTGTATGTCTCTCAACAGCAGTACAGGTTTTTCAGGCAATCATCTTCGAACCCACAAACCAACTTGTTCAGTCTATTCTAAAGTTCAAGTGACTTCCCCACACTTTTTCTTTTTCTGACAATCCAACATGTGTTTGTCCAACACATGGAAGGATTTGGGGTTGGATGGAGCAGGGCTGTTATGTTTGCAAAGTTCATTGTGGCATTTTTTTCAGAACAAAAACGGAAGGCAGTGATTAAGTGCTTAACTAAGCTAGTGAGTAGCAGATGTCAACATCCTTGCCTGCCTGTTACATCACAACCGCAGAACACTTCAAAAACAGCTCAGGAAAATGAGGAGTGGCGTGCACCCACGTTAATGAAGGAGTTTCTTTCCCAGAGTCAGTCCTACTCCTGAGCCAACTCTCTCCTTCAGGCTACTTAGCCTGAATCCAGTCACCTGCTTCTTTTTATAGCCTGCATTTTCTTAAGTCTTTGGATAAGTGTGTCACAACAACAACGTTGCAGTGTGATGAGCCAGTCAAATTTAGGTACTTGATGCCACACTGTCAAAAGAATTTTGATTCCAGCCTGCAAACTGAGTGCATGAATGTTGCTTGGCTTTTCTTTCCTTTGACTCATTTTGCTGCTTGCACCTGCACAGCAGAGAGAGACCTAGAAGATTTCCTATGGAAGTCAAAAATCCTTTAGGATGCAATCATATGCATGTTTGGACAGAAGGAAGTTGTATAATCCCCAGAATGCTAGCTGGGGTTATAAGAGTTCTCTCTGTCCAAAGATGCAAAGGATCATGCTCTGGATGCACAGAGGGTCAAATCAAATGCTAGCTCTACCTAGAGTAGGCCCATTAACAGAATACAAGTTAGACTAACATTGGCTGCTACAAACTCTCGTGGTACCGCATGCCTTCTCACTCAAAGCCTGTGCCCAGTGGGGCTTCCTTCTAAATAAATGTGCTGCCTGAAAATATAAAGCTAGGGTAGACTGATGCACGGTTGCAAGAGAATAAATCCCATTAAAATCCGCGAGGCTGACTTCTGCGTAAAGATGCAAAGAACAGGGCTGTACAGCATCCACTAAACTATACTGCGCATCTATATCCCCACTCCGCCCCCCCCCCATGAGTCTAGTGCTAAATGGGATTAAAATCGCGGCGGGGGGATCACGTGCCCGATCAACACCGGACAACCTCCCAGGATTCTCGAGCGTAGCTGCTTTAAGCTGAAAGCCGTGCTGGGTTTATGCAAACATAGCAGCGTGACTGGCGCGCCGCGCCCTGCCGCCTAGCCCGTCCTGCACCTTGGCAGGCCCGCCGCGCGCGCCCTCTGCCGTGCTCCAGCGAGCGCCCGGGACGCTCTTGGCGCACAGACGCGGGCGCTCGGCGCGAAGGGCGAGCTCTTCCCAGACTCCAGCCGCGTTGGGCTTGCAGGTGCGCGGCGCTCCTTGAACCCTCGGCGGGAGGGGGAGTGGAGGAGGCGGGGCGCAGAGCGTGGCTCCGGGATTTCGCCGGAAAGTCACCTGATCCGCCCAGCCACCGGCCTCCCCCGCCGCGGCTTCCCCGAGGGCCGCCGCCCGCGCGCCCCACCCGCTCCCTTCCCTTCCCTTCCCATTGGCCGCCAAGGGAAGTCCGGCGCCCGGCGCCCGGCCCCGGCCCCATATAAGTCCCGTCTATGGGTCTGAGTCGAGAACCCGCGCGGCGCTCCGCAGCATCCTCGCGTGCCTCCCCACTCCGCGCCAGCACCGCTGCCGGACGGGGTCTTTCCCACTGCTTGCTCTCTCCGGGAAAGAGAAACCCCCGCCTCGCCGGGCCGCGTCCCCGAAAGCGAAATCCTCCCCCGCGGCTAGATCTCTGCCGGGGATTTCCGCAGACGCTCGCAGCCCCTCTCCTTAAAGACCCCCGATTTCTGCGTCCCGCGCTCCCCTCCGTGCGGCACCCCGCTCGCCCGCGGGCGTCTCTTGCAGGAGGCCACATCGTTCGTCGGAGATCCTCTCCGCTCTTCCCTTCTTTGTCTTTCGCGTGCGGACGGCCGCCGAGCTTGTTTGCTAACTTCTTTCGGCGTCCGGCGTTTAGATCCCGCCTGCAGCCGGCCCGTAATATAAGCATAAAAACACCTGTGCTCGGAGGTGAGCTAAGTACGGCGTAGCTCCGCGCCAGCCGGTTGTGTGGGCAAGTGTCTCTCTGTCTGCGCGCCTGCAAACTGCTCGCCGAGCCATGAGCGCCTCGCTAAAGCCAGCCCCGCTGTTCAGCTCGCTCCTAAAGCGGCGAGGTCCCGGGAGCGCAGCCGTCCAGCAGCAGCTGCTGCCCACCTCGTCGGTGTGCGCCCTGGAGCCCAAGGCCGAGATGCCCGCCTGCCCCATGCGGACCCCCCATTCGCTTTCCGCGCTGCCTGGCCCCACCAAGTGGCCGCTGATGGGCAGCCTCTTGGACGTCCTCTGGAAAGGGGGGCTCAAGAAACAGCACGAGACGCTGGTAAGTGCCTGTTCCCTTCCCGGTCCCTGTCTTCCTGCAGAAGCAACCGCAAAGTATGGCTGGGGCAGAGCTCCCGGGTAGCAAAGCTACCAGAGATGCGATAAAGTGCCCAAAATGATGCATGGGGTGGGGAAAATGGGGAGTGAGACATTTCTCTCTTCCCCTCTTATTACAAGCCTAGGATCATCCCGCGAAGCTGATTGGTGGGGGATTCGGGATCGATAAAAAGAAATCCATCTTCACACTACACAGTGAAGTGATGGACCAGATGGAGGGATGAGCACCACTTTGGATGACTTTAAAGGGCGATTGGGGGGATTCATGGTCAACTAGGTTTTTGACAGCTGCTTACCTCTAGTATTAGAGGCGGTATATCTGCGTACACGAAATGCGGAAAAGCATGGTTGGAAGGATGGCGTTGCCCTTGTGGGTCCCCTGTGGACCCACTGTGTGAACAGAAGGCTGGATTAATGTAATCCTGGTCCAATCCAGCAGGGCTCTCCCCTTGTTCTTAATAACTATACTGGTACATCCCGTGCATGTATTTTCATGCAAGCATGATCTGTCAGTCCTCCCATGTCCCATTCAAAAGGTCTCAGGGAGCAGGGCTGGGAAAGCTGCCCTAGCCTAGATGGGCAGTGATGTGTGTCAGTTTAAGGCTGCTTCACTTGTTTATGTGATAGAATCAAAGGAGTGGAAGGATACTAAGAGGTCATGTAGACCAACCTCCTGTCTGTGAAGGAAATTCACCACTGCAGCATCTCTGAGAGGTGGTCATCAAGCTTCTGTTTAATGGAGCAGACTCCACCACTTTGCAAGGCTGTCAGTTCCATTGCCAAACAGCTCATACCCTCAGGAAATTCTCTTCAACAAGTAGTCAAAATTGTTTTGCTTTGTTTTGTGATTTGTCATTTGAACCTGTTTGTTCAGGTCTTTCCCTTGAGCAATAGAAACAATTTGCTGCATTATCTACCCATGTGAGACATGTGCCGTGAGACCATCTGCAGCATCAGAAGAGATGCTCGGTTCAAGAGTCGTGCTTACCGGCCTCCGATGTAATGGAGTCCTACGTGTGTGCACTGGGGGGGGGGTTATATTTATTATATAATTTTAGTATTTATTTTATTACTTCTGTATTTATTTATGTGTTGTGAGCCTCCCCAAGGCTTTGTTGCGATGGGGCGGCATAGAAATGTTTTAAATAAATAAATAAATAATCCTTTCTGAGCAGGCAGATCAGCTCTCTGGTTTGGTCCAGCCGAATGACAACACAGGTCTTCTCCCTTCTGCTGCAGGCGGATTACCACCGCAAGTTTGGCAAGATCTTCCGCATGAAACTAGGCGCTTTTGACTCGGTACACATTGGGGCACCCTGTTTGCTTGAGGCTCTCTACAGGAAAGAGAGCGCCTACCCACAGCGCCTTGAGATCAAGCCCTGGAAAGCCTACCGGGATTACCGTAAAGAAGGCTACGGGCTACTTATCCTGTGAGTGAAACTGGGACAGAGTGCATTGCTGGGGAGGGATTCGTGGGTGTGCAGCATGCATGTCTAACCTTGCACTGCAATCACTGAGCATCAGAAATCTCTCAAAGATTAGCTTGCTTTTGCTATTTCCACAGCTGATCTGTTTGTCCTTTCCTTTTATTTCTTTTTGCTCATTTGGCTTGTGCCATATTCAAAGGCTGCCTGAAAACAAATCGATCACTGAAGTGTAATTAAGTGTCTCTTCTGATCACTGGAAGTTTTGCATTTGCATTGCACACCTGTTTAAGCGTGAAAGGGAACTGTAGGTGCTGTACAAATTGAATGTCAGCAATGGCACAGGGCAGGGTGTGACACCTTTCCCTCTGTGCCATTTTGCTAATTTAACTTGCATCTCCCTCAAAGCTGCTATTAACCTCCCAATGGAAAAATTACATGTACCATGGAAGGTGATAAAAGAATAATTGATAGATCAAACACACCCTCTGGCCAACAATTATCATTCCTATCATGAAGAAAATGCAGAACATGGAGATTGCTAGGCAACTCTGATTTAAGCATCACTTCTGAAATCTATCTAAGAAGCAATGTATTGGGGTATGAGGTTTTCCACATTGTTCAACTAATTTTGGATACTTCTTAATCTTCCTTAGCACATATTACCATTTACCTGTACACTGTGTACATCTAGTACTTGGCCAAAGAGTATCAAGTATATCAGTTCTCAGAATGCTCTGACATTTCTCATCAAACCCGTTTGCATACCCATCCAGCTGCCTTCTCTAGAAAATGTCAATATTTGAACTAGAACATGTCCAGATTTTCAGAACCTCTGAAATCCGATACATTGGACCTTTTTAGAATGTCAATGACCTTTAATCCCTTCACTTTTTTAAATTTCTTGCAGAGAAGGGAAGGATTGGCAGAGAGTAAGAAGTGCATTTCAGCAAAAATTAATGAAGCCCACGGAAATTGTGAAGCTGGATTCCAAAATCAATGAGGTATTGCATAAGGACTTGGGCTTAATTTTGTCAACACCTTTAACACACCATGAAATACAGTACTGCTTTGATCTTGACAGAGATGTAATCAAACTTTTTAAGTTGCCTGTTTGTATGGAAACTACCTTTGCAGATGGGGAGTCAAGAAAAATATCCCTGCAGAAATAATATGAAGTCCTCCCTGAATTTAACCTCATCAGAACAGATCTGAAGGAATAATTTCCGTCCCGAGGCTATGTGATGGGACGGCATACGAACACTCTAAATAGATAGATAGATAGATAGATAGATAGATAGATAAATGAATTTCGAAAGCTGTCCCAGAAATGAAGCAGGACCCTTTGTTAATATGGGAGAACATTCATAATGTGATCTCCCATCTTCCGTTCCTGATGGTTTTGAGTCTGGGAAGATACATCACTTCATCTTGATGAATATGTAGCTTTGCATTCAATCCATTCAGTCCAGCAAGTGGTGGCTACAGACCCCACTGGACAATTTATTGGACCCTTTTAGACCCTCTGCTTGTATAGTGACAACACTGCCTGTACTCAGTGAGTGGGGACAGAAAGGCTGAATCCAGTTTTGGAGCTAAAATGAAATCCCTTTACAAAGAAATCCCACCCCCTTTCTTCTTATTCTCAAAAGTAGACATGGCCCTACAGTATGATCCTTTTTATTTGTCTTCTCTTGGGTGAAAACGAGAGTAACTGAATAAGGTGAGGTATTTCCTTGGAAGTGTCTTTTATTTAACTTATTAGTGTCTTCTCTTGGGTGGAAACAAGAGTAACTGAATAAGGTGAGGCATTTCCCTGGAAGTGTCTTTTATCTGACTTACTAGTGCTTCCGTGTCAGACATCTAACTACTCCCATGCAACTGAAGTGTTTAGGTTTAAGGGTAAAGCAGGATGAGATCTTGTAATCTACCTTTGTGCAGAGTTGGGGCTTTCTTAACTGTTTGGATTGGTGAGTCAGATCAGGACTGTACTGTGTGTGCGTGTGTGTCTGGGTGGAAGGGAGACTTTAGCTCCTTTTCTTCCACCACGGTCCCAGTTAGAATTCCCTGTGCATCCAACCTGTCATTCAGAATGGGCGCTTCCCTCCTACTTCAAACACTAGGCAGAGGTTTGTGAAAACTTTACTCATTAATTCACTTATGGCATTATTGTCCTGGTTTTCTTCCAAAGAACCTACATGAAGCTCCTGCTTGTCACATTATTTTCACAACAATCCTGCGAAGTAGGTTAGAATGAGAGTCAGTGACCAGCCCAAAATCACCGAGTGATCTTCATAGCTGAGTGGGAATGAGAACCTGCTTCTTCTCAGTCCAGCACTCCTACTTGTATATCACACTAGCTTGAACCTGCTCCCCTCTGCCGCAGCATACCTGGCCACACTGCCTAATTCATGAAATGCAGGTAAGCTGTGCAGTGGTGAATTAGAGGAGAAACTTGCCTCTTGTTTGTCCCTAAATTCTTGATGGACATGAGGTGGAGCTAGTGAGTCAGTTAATGATATAAGAGTGAGGAATTCTTTGGAAGGTCAGTAAAGCCACCAGGGGAAGTAACACACTGAATCTGTGGTCATTTATTCACTATGCAAACTTGCAGCAGCAATATCCATGGTTTAACTATGCCCTACATGAAGAAGTCTTTCCTATTTTTCTGAATCTCCCTATCATCCAGCTTCCTTGGATGCCCCTGGGTCCTGGTAATATGAAAGATCTGCTTTTCTAAGCACCACATACAGCTCTCTCATGTCTCTTATTGTCCTTTTTTCTAAGCTCAAGATTCCCAACACAACTCTTTCCTCATTTGGGACTTACTCCAGCCCTTTTGAACATCTTAGGGCATGATCTTATGCATTTTTGAGGCAGAAAATGTCCCTAGCCACCTTTTCTGCCCTCTTTTCTACATATCTGGTGACATGGTCTCTACATATCCAAATGTGTTCCCATCCTAGACAGAATGCTGAATATTTTTATTTGCAAATAATAATAAATTTTGGTGTTGACTAACATTCCAAACTAATTTCTTCCTTAGGTCCTTGCAGATTTCATGCATCAAATAGACATACTTTGTAATGAGGATGGAGAAATAAAAGATTTATATTCTGAACTGAATAAGTGGTCATTTGAGAGTAAGTCATTTTCCCTTCTTAATTCTCAGCCTGGGGTCATTGGTTCTTTCTCCACACCTTTTCTCCACCCCATCCAACACATATGCACGAGCCTTGTCTGACCAATTAGACCCCTGTCCAACGCAGTCTCTGAGACATGGCCAAAAGTTGTGACAGTGTCCTGTGGTGTGACAGGAAGGGCATTCTTGCTATCCCCTCATGAGTTCACAGAAGCATGAGATGGTAATTTTAACACCCATTAGAGTGCACCATTCACCAGGGAGAGAGCACATGGGTCCAAGACTGCGCTGAAATAACATCTGAAACAGCATCTGAAATCAATGGGTTTCCTATTTCCAGTTTCAAGGGGAAAAGCCACCCCACCAACCAAGGATGGACTATCATGTTGTCCAGACATGGGTAACTGATCTCATTGTGGGTGGAGCAGATACGCTAGTGAACCCATAGCTAAAGTAGCAAGCCTCCCTTGTTGCTCTGGTCATCAGGCTACTGGGCAAGTTCCAGTGTCAGATGGGCCCAAATGCCCCAGAAGACAAGCAAAGAGCCCATGGTGTTCACACAACAAGAAACCCACCCCTTATAGCCAGAGTAAGTTAGCACTGCATACAAGCACACCCATTGTGTCAAGTGTGACTTGAACTCTTTGGTTTTCTTCCCCAAGCAAACCAAACCCTATAAACTTATCACTGGATTTGTTCATGCTGATTTCTCCTTACTGTTTTCTCTCCCTTTTGCATTCCTCCCTCCATTGAATGTAATTGACTGTGGGGCAAGAATCTGGGGCTGGAGTGGAGAGGCAAGAATTTGGAATGAATGGGTGGCATCCATAGTCATGATTCTGTGGTCTTTTTATAATAGGCATTTGTCTGATGCTCTATGGAAAGAGGTTTGGACTTCTACAGCAAGATGTGGGAGATGAAGGCTTGAACTTCATCAAGGCTGTCAAAACGGTAGGGAGTAATGCTTGGCTCTGTGAGCATGCTAGCGTTTTGATCATTTATAGGAGCAAGGGAAAATCTAGCCCTATATTGTTTGCACTGACTGGCAGCTACACTTGAGGGTATAGGACAGAGCTTAAGAATCTTTTTCAGCCCTGTCCAGAGAGGCTGAGGTTCCTGGAACACTTAGAGGTGCTTGGAACCCTTTATGTTCAAAACACATTTATTTATTTGATGTTATGTTAATTAAGAACTATTTCTGGGTCCCTTTTAAGGGTAAAACCTCACTCAGAAACTCATCTGTTGCTAAGCCATAGAGAAGCAATGATCTGGAAAGTGGTCATTGTGAGCCTAAAGCATAGATACCCCTCTTGTGCAGTTTGTGTTGACATGAATGGACCATTCATGGAAATGTAGTAGTCACAGGCTGCTTGTATGATGTAGATGGCCTTTTTATCTAGGGTGAGAATGGATACAATTTAGACACTGGGATTGGAGGTGGTTTTTTCAACCCAGCTCTTGTCCCCACTGGATTTCATGCTCATCCAATACAGATGTCCTCCTCCTCGCATCTCCCCTGTATTCCCTATGCCCCAAAAATCTGCATCAGAGGAGCCATCATCTCACCAGGGCTTTAGGGGGCATCCATTCCATCAATGGTGTCCATTCTACTGGTGGATGGACATGATTGGATAAACCCAATGGATGGATCAAGACTTTTATGTTCAATAGCAAAAGAATTTCCATGAAAGCAGTAGGATATAGGCCAGATTATTGATCTTCAAGCGGTGAGTTGGGATGCACAAGTGTCTTGTGTCCTGAAACATGGAATTTCGTATGGTTGCTTTTTTAGGTAGAGCAGTTCTCTCCCCAGTGAGGCCTTGAATGAATGGAAGAAGCTTCCACTCATTGCTCTGTTCTACTTTTGTGCCGATAGTAAAAGTTGAGAATAGAACCAAAGATTGAAGTACTCTTTTTGGTTGCAATTAAAATGTTTGATTCCTTTTCTTCTCCTTCCATAGTGCACTTATATAATGCTGTTGATCTGTTCTTTGCATATTTCAGATGATGGGTACTTTTGGGAAGATGATGGTAATCCCAGTTGAGCTCCATAAACGTCTGAATACTAAAGTTTGGCAAGATCATACCAAAGCATGGGACAATATATTTAAGACAGGTAACTGGACACATCTGGTGCATTGATGCGTACTCTATGGAACCCATCTCTGTTTCTCTGTGTTAGAAATTAGGTAACTATTCGTATATCTTGTCTGTTGAAAATTGCTACTCTCTTCTGAATAGCAAGGAACTGAACTAGTTCAACCCAACAGAATACATTCATTCCTCAAACTTTAAGTTTTGAGATTATTCTACCACACTGAAGGTCCCAGCCAAGTTAGGAGTTTCTACTGTCCTGGCGCATACTTAATCTTTTAAGGTGAAGTTTTATGCATCAGGGTTTATTCCTGTCTCAACTAGAATTATACCTAAATGGCCCTTGATGCATATTTAGGATTGACCTATCACATTCAAAACCAATCCTTATTCCATGGAACATCATACCTGAAGTCAGTCTACTCTATTTTCACATCCAGCCTATGAGGCAGGTTTGTCTGGAGGATAATAGGGATCTTTGGGTAAATCATGTTTAGACCTATTTTTTCATAAACAGCATAAGAGGTGGTAAGCCCAGGAAAGGAATCTTTCCCAGCCTTGTCCAGGCTATAGTTGGGTAACTCACAGTTCTTGAATCTTCCATACCAAAACACAAAACCTACATATATAAAGTTAGCATGTCAGGGAGGAGATTAGGCTCGGATCATTCCTGTTTTCTGTGTGAAGCTTGTTTCTTATTTGGAAAAATACACACCTGAGGTTTCTAAGTCCTAGTTTCATTTGTTTCTAACATCTTCCCTTTCCTTCCTCAGTAAAATCCGCCATTGACAGCAGACTGAAGAAACACAGTGCCAATCCCAAGGAAGATTTCCTTTGTGACATTTATTTCGGGAGTCAGCTTTCCAAGAAGGAACTGTATGCAGCTGTCACAGAAATGCAAATCGCCGGTGTTGAAACGGTAAAGCAGGCTGAGATCTAGGAACTTTTATCATTGGTTATGCAAAGGAAAATGAAGTAGGTTTTTAAAGTTTGTCAGTGGATTTACCTAACTGCTGTGGCTAAGATAAGAACATAGGCACTGCTTCATAGTTAGTCAAACACTTGGTCCATCTAGTTCAGTGCTGCTGATGAACAATGGCCCTCCAAGTTGCAAACATGAGTTCTTCAGCTCTACTTTGAGATGCAAGGGATTGAACCATGGATCTTCTGCATCCAAACTATGTGCTTTACTACTGTGCTGTTGTCCCTCCTGCAGTATTGCAGAGCTTTACTCCCTATTAGTGAGACCTGAGTTCAGATCTTCACTTTGCCCTGGGGTTCATCTTGAACAAGTATCCTCCCTTAGCCAGTGTTGCTTTCCTTAGTGGCAAGAATAAAGTCAGAAAGATAAGATACAGTATGAAAATAGCTGCTTTTTCTTTTCACTCACACTGCAACCACATGTAATGTATCCTAGAAGGATCATGGAAACCTCCGGATTGTTGCACTATATATCTGTTGGTTCACAGTGGGATGAAAGAGCCTTGCTGTTTAGGAATGATGGAGTTGTAGGTCAACACACATGGAGGACATAAACTCTGGGAAGATTGTCTTCCATCTCCACCTAGATCTCCTCTGAAGCATGCCAAATTGTGTAGTTGCAATTTCTCATCTCAACACCAAAGTCCTCGTGCTTCTAAGTGCCTTCTGATCTGTGAATTATTGTGCATTTCTCAACTCAGTTTTATAGCCAGCTGTTAATATATAATTTGCACTAAGACAGTTTTGACTCTTAAGTCATGTTGGTGTAGTAATCCAGAGTGAGTTCAAGTTGTTGTGTGCTGCTATTTCAGACTGCCAACAGTTTGCTTTGGGCACTCTACAACATCTCGTGCAATCCAGATGTCCAGGCAAAGCTTTTTGAGGAAATACAGAGTGTGGTTCCAGCTGGAGAGGACCCAAATGGTGACCATCTGAAGAAGATGCCCTACTTAAAGGCCTGTCTGAAAGAATCTATGAGGTAAGATGCTTCATATACAAGAAAAGAAATAGCTTCTCTTCTTTGCAGAATCAGCTGCAGCATTCTAAAAGTCTTCAAATGAATATTGATTGATCAAAGGAATGTCTGTTCCTGGAAGTAATATATACATGTAAGGCAGGTCTTGATAAATAAGGCCAAAGCTTCATCTAATTCAGCATTCTTACAGCCAGCTCCCTGTTTGAGAGAGGGTAGTTTCACTATGGGACTCAGGGGGGGGCTCCCTTCTCCTTCAGTAAACTGAATTGTTCCCATACCTATTGGAAATACATAGAAGATGACAACAATTATGCTGGTACTGGCACCATCACTGTTGTAATCTCCCACAATGCCCTAGAGTTATGTGCCATCCCAGGGCACTGTGGATAATTACAGCTGAGTCTATCCAGCACACACTGGAGTTCCTGAAGAAGGCTTCCAGGGCATCACCAACAATCAGTCCTTTGCAGGTGCCTGAGGAACATTCTGATGCTAGTTACCCTGTCTAGCAGGAGCTAGTGAGATCTAGTGTATTAGAATTATATCCCAACACCCTTCAAGCAGGTAACTCAGATTGGCTTACTTGAGGTTCCTTGGCAGTTTCACCTCCAGCATCAGTGGTCACACTGTGATGCATCTGGGAAATGCGCAGAGTAGATGGGTGGATATAGGCATCCACTGCCTGCCCTAATCACTCTGTAAACTGAGCATACTTCCTCTCATCTGTTCCCTTTCACCAGGGAAGATGCTTCCTGAGAACCCCCAGGAATCAGATGATGTCTGGATGCAAGCTAAATGAACTTGAGTTCCTGACATCAATGGATTCCTTTCTTTGAGCACAGATAGGCATGGAGCAATTGGTTCATACCCTTCGCTGCACAGAGAATGGAACTGACTTTTCCTGCCTAGTACTTGTGAATGTCTGCTTTGGGCAGGAATGGGAGAAGTGGTTTCTGCCAAAGACAGAAACTGGAGGGCTGGGTGGGGAACACCAGCAGGCTGCCTCGCCATCCTGGCACTTGGCTGTCCTGGCTCATAGCCCTTGATAATGCTGATTGAAGATTTAGAGAAAGTCATATGTAAATACAGAGTCATCCCATACATTATCTTTGTAAGCCAGGCCAGTGCTATTATCCAGCAATGGATGAGGTCGTGAGAGAGCAGCTTTCTGAAGGTTAACTGTTAGTTTCATGGCTAAGCTGCAATTTGAACTTGGAACATTCCAACTTCTCTTTGCTGAAATAATAGGTCTCTGGTAGCTCTATTGTGGACCAACAGTAAAGACAGTATATCCCATTTTGTTATAGGATAACCCCTTCTGTGCCATTTACCACTCGGACCCTCGACAAGGAGACAGTCCTTGGAGATTATTCCCTTCCAAAAGGGGTGAGTATAAGCTCCACCACCAAAGCAAAGTTTGGACACAGAACATTTGCAGCCCTCTGCCTAACCACACTCCCTTACCGGTACATCAGTGCTTCTTTCGTCTGAAGAAGGGTGGGGTGACCATGCTTGCATGGCCAAGGTGCCATGTGACTGGTTCATCGCTTAACCCACTTCGAGCAGCCTGCATAGAGCTGCTCTCTCCATCTTCTCCTGATAGGATGAAGATGAAATGAAATGAAATGGGTGCTGGGGTGGCAGGGTGTCCTGCTTTACAGAGGACAGTCCTCTGTTTGGAAGTCTGTCCAATCCGTGGCTGGTTCAAAGAGAGAACCATAAGAAGGGAGAACTGTTGGGGCCCTGAAGTTGCTTATCCACAGAGAGCACTGAGACAACAAATTGAGCAGACCCAGAAATCTTCTAGCTGCAGTCTTCCCCACTGTGGAGAGGCATTTTGCATTTCTTTTGTCATGATGGCTTTTTCTAAATTTGCATCTGTATACACAGAGTAGAACATGCAAACTGCTATTCTCTTTAGTCTTCTTTTGGTGATTCATTTCTTCTTTGTTTTTGTCAATAAGGAAGTGGCCTCGCCACTGGGATTCCACTACAAAATCATGGGATTAATTCCTGTGGAATTGATTGATTGCATTTATATACCACCCCAATAGCCCAGAGGGTTAAGTGCTATGGGCTAATCCAACAACGATGGTCATGTGCTACCCGCTGTGTGGCCCCACCCAGTGGCCACTAGAGGGCAGCCTCTTTGGACATCCTCTGGAAGGGGGCATCAAGAGGCAGCCTGAGACAGGAACAAGTGCCCAGCGTCCCCCACCCTCAGCCCCATCACGTCTGACTGCAGAGAGAACCCAAAGGGTGTTTTGGTCAGAGCATCTGGGACTGTTTAGCCTAGAGACAGGAGAGAGATATTCAAGATGATGCCATGGTGTGGAGAAAGTGGATCAGGAGGCATGTTCTCCCTTTCCTAATACTAGAACGTGGATCATCCCATGAATCTGATTGGCAAGCTCATGAAACTGGTAAAGGAAGGACACAGCACAGTGTTAAACTATGGAATCCACTTCAAAAGATGTAGTGATGGCCACCACTTTGGATGACTTTAACATGGGGGAAGTTAATGGCGGAGTCTAACCTAGCAGGCTGTTATATCCTACCTCTAGTATCAGAGGCTTAGTGTCTGTGGACATCAGCTGGTGAGGGATGTGTTGTGCTCATAGCCTACCTGAGAATTTCCTGTGGGCACCTGGTTGGCCCATGTATGAACTGAATGCGGGACTAGAAGGACCTTTGATCAGATCCATTGTGGCTCTTTGTTCTTAGACAGTCACTGAAACAAACTGAGGGTATGTTTTGGGCAACTGAGCATTGAAAACTGGCTTGGTATTCAAGTTTATTTATTTTTATTTATTTTTCGATTTATATCCTGCCTTTTTCCTACAAGGGCTCAAGGCAGCTTACATCTCCTCCTCCATCTTATCCCCACAACAACAACCCTGTGAGGTGGGTTGGGCTGAGAGTCTGTGACTGGCCCAAGGTCACCCAGTTGGCTCCACACTGGGCCATTTTCTCAGAAAAGAGCTTTTTGAGTCTCTCTTTGCCTGGAAAACCACCCTATCTAGATTTGCCTTTTTCTGGCATGGCTCCTGAAAGACAGCAATTCAACCAGTGCAGTTTTTCCCAACGTGCAGGTGTTTTTATCCAAACATTGTATGTTCAATTTCTACCCCTTGGGTTGCCAATAAAAGGCCAGGGGAATGATCACATTCAATGGAGAAAGGGCATACTGCAAGTTGTTTTAGATGCTAGTTGTTGTAGTGTTACCTAAGTCCCAGCACTGAAAATTGGTTGCAGACCTAAAACTGATGAGCTCTGGATCAAATTAAATCCCATTTGATCCACAGTGCAGTTTGTTTTAAGGTCTAAGATTGCTTTGAAGCAAACATTTGCAAGGAAGAAAATATCCTGTATTTTCTTCCCCCAGTCACGCTTGAAAGTGTTTCACTCTCTAGATCAAGGGTGCACCTGCTTTTTTATTTGCTTCTCTGTTACTGGAAATACATTTCAACCCAGAGCTTGTTTGGGGAGTCTTTGAATAGTTTTATGTCCCTTGGCTGCTGCTCAGTGCTCTTTTCTCTTTCCTGTGAAGCACAGCAGCCTTTGAGGTAACATTGTAGTTCTCTCCAAGACAGCAACCTCCCTTGAGCTACAGCCCTTTTCCATTAGCAAACTATGACTTGCCATTCTGTCTTCACAAACAGCACTCGGTTGACCCTTCCTTCCTTACAACTTCAGTTCTTTTTATCTTCCCAGACAGTGTTGATGATCAACAGCCGTGCTCTGGGATGCAACGAGGAATACTTCAGTGAGTGGAGTCGGTTTAAGCCAGAGCGTTGGCTCCAAAAGAACATAAATCCCTTTGCTCATGTTCCTTTTGGCATTGGAAAGAGGATGTGCATCGGGCGCCGCCTGGCAGAGCTGCAGCTTCAATTAGCTCTGTGTTGGGTAAGCTTCAAGTGATGCTATTTTTCCTCCTTAGTCTTCCTTAGACAATCTCAAATAATTCTTCGGGAGGAGTGGAGGAAGGAAGTGATTCCATATATCGTTATTTATTTATCTTTTAAAATTGAGAATGCAACTGAGGCTGCAGCCGAATCCAGATGCCCTGAACTTTCCCAACTTGATGATTATGAGCATTGTATGTGAGACAGAAAGAATCCTTGGATGAAGTATGTCCAATTTCCTTCTGCCCTGCAAAACACTTTGCTGCCTGATTTCGCTGTCTTGAGTATTGTGCCTCAAAGCTGAGAGGAAATCGGCTGAGGTCCTGCCAAGATACTGTGTAATGTTGCAGCTGTGGTCCCTTCCCTCCCTGCCTTCTGGAATGCTCCTCAAACTCTTCTGTGAGGTTGCACTTGTGAACTTGCTGAAGAAGCTGGCACAGGTCTTTCTCTGCCAGCTGCAGGGGAGGACTCCCCCCAGCTCAGGGTTCCCAGCATTGACATCAGAGTGAGTTTCCAGGGTCTGAGCTAGGATTTCAAAGAATCTTCTGGCTGTCTAGACATTGCCTAGCAGCCATGGGATAGCTGCATTACCTACTTTTTCATACATCATGGATTCCAACATGAGTCACTTTGGTGTAAAGCAATGACGAGAACCGCTGGCTCAGGTTTCCCTCTGGAAGACTGGGAAATGTGGAATGCTATGGTTTGCTTATTCTTTATTCACAAATCATTTGAACTGCTCTAGACTTTGACAAAAAGATCCCTGAGTGGTGAATAATAAATTTTAAATCAGGTTACAGAAGTAAAATTGTGACTCATGCTTCATAAAAATGTTTCCATAAATGTCTTTCATAAATAATGGTTTTCGCAGATACCGTAGACAAAGTAAAGTTGGTGCCTGCCTGAAATCAGCTGGCAGGAAATTCCCCAGAATGGGAACTTAAGCACTAAAAGCCCATTTCTATGTGTAGTCCAAAAGAACCTCATATCTATGCAGAATGACCAAAAGCCCCTCATCCAATGACCTCCTTGTTTAGCATGGCCAGGATGGGTCACAACAAGCCTTGGAATGGCCACAAGGAGAAATTCTGAAGCTCTTGCTGCTGTTTTATATTAACCAAATTGACTGAACCTGGCACACTGTGGTTAATGGAAACAAACCAATTGCAAACTATGTTTTCTAAAGCTGGCATGTTTAATCCCAGTTAAGATTCACCTTAGTTTAGGGTTTGGATGTAGCACTAAACTGTGGTAAATCTAAGCTACAAGCAGTAGATGCCAGTCTCAACCTGCTCATACCAGGGAGAGGGGTACTAAAATATGGTTTAGCATGACATCTGAATACAGCCACTGTGAAATCATAAGAAAATGACAGTACACATGTCAGAATATTAAGAGGACTTTATGAGAACATTCCATCCTTCTAATGCATTAAATTAAAGTTGGTGTTTGCAGGTATGGGTACCTCTTAAATATTCATAGATAGGGAACGGGTTGCAAACCTGCCCAAGGCATAATCCCTTCAAAGGTTCACTGTGCACCTGGACTGCACTGAATGAGGATGTGGTCATGTTTTTTCACATCTCTTGATTAGCACAGGAGACCTTCCCAATTAACTACCCAGTTGATTGTACTTAGAGGGTTGTATCCAGTGGTGTGTTCCTCCCATTGAAGAAGCATGGGTTTAACTCTCTTGTCTAAATGAATGGGGCATTACCATTCATTACCTGCCATATCTTGGCTGGACTGCACTCTTTCATAACTAGTGACTTAGCCCTGAAGCCAGTTCTGAAGGTCAGTGCCCAGGCTCCAAGGATCACTCCTGCTTGAACTAAGCCTTGGCTATACATTGGAGAAACCCTGGGAAACTGTTTTTTAAACTCATCTTTGTCTTTCCATTACAGCTTGTACGGAAGTATCAGATTGTAGCCACAGATGACAAGCCAGTCAAAACCCTGCACTTGGGAACCCTCATCCCAAACCGAGAACTTCCCATTGCATTCAGAAGGCGATAAGGTAAAGGGAAGGGTCCCCTTTAGATGACTGCTGGTCCCAGAAAATAGCACTCCAAAGGCTCAGTCATATATGGCAAATTTAGTCAGAAAAAAGGCCTGCAACTCCCAGCATGCCCCAGTTAGCATGTCAGGAGCTTTTTTCCCGTCTAAAGCTTCACAGGATTGGACTTTAACTCCTGTGGGCCACCTGCAGCCCTGACCTATTCTAGGTTTTATCTATTTTAAAACTCAGTTTCTAGGTCTCATGATTTCAGAGAAATGTTTCAAAGAACAGAAAGTGAAGTGGGCAAAGAGAATCCTACTATTCATAGTTTTATTTTGGATTTTGTCAACTACATGGTTTTAGACCATGATATGTTTCCAGTGTGGCCTCTGCAAGATTTTTCTCTGGATACAATCTACTAAATGCAAGGCTATGAAAATATTCAGATCCCTTACATGTACAGTATGAATAAGAGTGCTTAAACACCAGATCCTGTTTAGATTTGGTGTTTCAAGAGCAGATCCTCTTTGAATGTGGTGTTCTAAGACCAGGTCCCTTAAACATCAGATCCTGTTTAGATTTCTAATCCAAGTCATCTGTTGTGTGGATGCAAGCCCCAATAATGTGCATGAAACTGTACTTTAAAACTGGATTGGAAAATTCCTTTTAAAGCAGGGTTTCACCTTGAAGACATTGATAAAATATGAGAATGGGAGGGAGGGAGGGAGGGGGAGAGAGAGACAGGGAGAGACTAGCAGAGTCACTGGATCCTTTTCAAAACTACAGAATAAATGATAGCTTCTTCTTCCTCTCCCCAGATACATTTGGAAGAAACAGTGGACAGCTGCTTTTTCTGCATGCAACACCCTTGAATGGCTGGGTCTCTGCTCCTCCGCACCCGATGTCTAGGCGTGTTTTGAGAAAAGCGTGCTCCTAACAAGGAGAGGACAAGGGGCATCCAAAGCTCGCATTGGCCTTGCTGTGGGGTGGGGTGGGGGGCAAATCCTCAAACTGCAGTGAGGGCACATGAGCAATCACTGAATGCTGTTAGGAAACTTGAACTGCCTGGATTATAGAGGTCTGAAGTGGAGGGTGGTGGAGTGTAAAGGCTGGCAGGGGAAATGGATCTTTTCCCGGAGCCCTGACATCCATCCCTTTCTGCTCACCTGCCGAGGTGACATCTCCTGGTCTTGGCTTGTCTTGTTATGTGTCTGGGATCAGCCGTCCAGGAAGGCCTGAAATGGTTCCACGGCTTCATTGCTGAGATGAAGGGAAGAGGCAGGAAGAATCTTCTTTCATCTCTTCTCAAATTCTCAAGGGTTATGTGGTTTTAACAGTGGATCTCAGCCACCTGCAGCCGGTACTCTAGTTTGTTGTGTAGATTGCTTTTTCACAAGCATCAGTGTGATGGGGAAGGGAAGAGGAGACCCAAGAGGACTATTGTGTTTAGAGTTTACAAAGTGGGAGGAATACAATAGGGGACACGCTTCCATTTATACTCTTGCTAAAACCAGAACTTTATGCAACAACCTTAACAAACATACAATGCTGGTAGCAATGCGGAGGCGCTCTGTGTGAAAGAAGCTTGTGCTTCTGGCGGGTTTAATGCTGCAAATATAGCGCAGATGATCCAGTACTGCTGCAAGCGCAGGCAGGCTCAGTAGAGTCTGTATTTATGCTCATGCTCAGGCAGCACAGTGTATCTTACCAGAGAATGGGCAGTCTGTGCTTAACACGCCTGTTCTCTCTGTATGATGCTCCGGAGGACACGTTGCTTGATAGGCCTATGGAAGTAGTCTGTGTTTTAAAATGCATGCACCCACTTCAGTGCTGGTAAGGGAATAATAACGCACAGCAGCCAGTGCTGCTCAGCCAGCCCTGGGACTGCGTTAAATCCAGGGTCCTCACTGATGCATAGACACAGGCCGAGGCAACAACGAAACGAGGCGAGAGGGCCATGAAGCCTCCGGGATCAGTTCAAGCAAATGGTATCTGTGCGATACACTTCTATGCCCAGTGTTAAGTCCACTGCTGCAAGGTGTATGGGGGCTGTACAAGGGAATAGGCAATGTCATAATTTAGCAGACCTTGGACTATAAGGCACTTGGCCTCCAAATAGCCGCGGAATAGCCTGGTCAGCCCTGGCCAAACAGCATGCTGGAGCAGAGGGACCATTGCTGTGGCCTGATCCAGCATGGTCCTCCTCGCATTCTTGCACTCAGTTTGTTGGGCCACAATTTTTGCTAATCTTTAGCATCATGTCTTGTGATCACATATGAGTATTAGACTCCACCAGTATTTTCTCCTATTCCTGTATGATAAAGACACAATTTCTTATTTGTTTTGTTTGTATACAAATTGTTACTTTGTACATATCTTAAAAGCACATGTATGCACACACATCCTTTTCTAGATAGAAGAACTGTTAATGGTTGATGATTTTCTGTACAGAATTACTTATTTTTTTAAGCTTTGAATTTCTGTTACTGATACCCAGATTCATCCTTCTGAGAATTTTGTAATTAAATAATTTTTGGATATGCTGCTGCTCTTTTTAATACATCTGTCTTGTACTGTCTTTTAAGGGGGCTCATTATTCTTTTGCCACCTCCTTCGGACAAAAGTGCCTCTTTCAAGGTACAAAACAAGTTTCTCATTCAAAGGGGCTTTCACAAAGGAATTGTTTATGATTTTTTAGTTAGAGCAACAACTGTACATTGTTGTGGTCTGATTGTCTGGTTTGTTAATTACCACTGCCCACCCACGGTTACTTTTTTTTTCATGCGGCTGCTTGAAAGCTTTCCAAATTAAAATCTTTATGAAATGATGTAGACCCACTATCCTCCAATGAGGATCCAAGGTGAAGGGAAAGAAGCAGCTAAGTACTAGTTAGATGCTACTGAAACATTTAGAAGGCTACATCAGTCATACTTGGAACATCTAAGACACTGATGAGAACAAAAAAATCCCTCTTGTTTGACCATGAGAGAGAGAGGGAGAGGCAACTCTAGCAAATTGTTTTAGATATAAAAAGTCTCCATTGTAGGTGCACAGTAAGAATTTAGAGTGAGTCCATCTCCAGGCAGGACCAGATGCCACAACCATCATGCACAGGGAATTTATCTGTTTAGCTTTCTGTGGTGATTTGTAACAGAAAATGTCATAGCAGGAAACATTACTCAATAAGGGGGGGGGGGCACAGCCATCAAAAAGGGAAAACAAAATCAGCAGGAAACATCCAGTTACCTTTTGTACAAGTTTATCTTGACCTACACTTCCTTTTAGGGCATGTGGTGTCAAAATATGCCTCCAGGTTTATCTTTACAAAGTCAGACCTTCTTGACAGAGGTTTATTTCATAGTTTTGACCCTCTGGTGTCTTTCTGATAGAACCCTAACAGACCCTTTTTTGTTTGGCCATCAGGAAAAAGTATGTTCTTCAACTGGAAGCTACGTACCTTTCAACTAGTCTTGCATGGTCCTTTACTAAGTCTCAGTAGTTCTGTGAGGCTCAAGCAGAGAATTTCCTAGCACTGCTACCCAAGAGCTTTGAATATGGGACCTTCTGTATTGAAGCATCTGCTGTACCTTTGGTCTGTGGAGTCCTTCCACCTAGCATTGGATCTCTACTGGAGTTTTAGTGGCTTGATAGTCATTCAACAAAACATTCCTCTTCATGCACAGCCATGGCCCAGCAGACAAACTGAATTTATATAATGAACCATTAGTAAGGATTGGGTGTATAGGACTACAGCCTTTAAACATATTTATTCAGAAGTACTTGCATCAGAGTTCAGTGGGAGTTACTAATCAAGTGTGTATTTCAGGGTGCAATTTAAGGAAGAGACACATAATATCAGAGCTGTTTCTACTGGATTGAAACCTCTACTCCATATTAACAATTCCAAAAAACAATTAGACTCATTTTAGACATGTGTATTGAAAGGCACTCCAAATGTTAACAATCCGGGGTGTGAATATGAGGGTGTGGCTAAAGGGGCCAATCCAGCTAAGGCCAGTCATGTAACCCATAAAGGAATCCACCAGGTGAGGAGCTAGGTACCTGGAAAATTCAAGACAGAAAAACAAACCAAAAAAGTACAAATTTGTATATGCTAATTTACATAGGTTCTAAAGCCTGTGTGCATTTGTGATGTTAAAGGACCCTGTCTCTTGAGGTCAGCCTTATTTGTAAAAAGGGATGCATAGAGAAGGAGATTGAGGCAGTTGATTACCCCCTCCAAAAACAAACGAACAAAAAGTGTCAGGCAAAACAATTCAAGAGAAGAGATGCAGGAGGTGAAGCCCATGTTGGCAAAAGGCCATCTAGTCCAGGTGGATCCACTGTGGTGCTCAACCCATAGATTATGACTGCCATCATCCCAAAACAGTTGCAACATTCTATAGAGTAACTCCTATAGAATGCAGGAAGACTTACTTTGGCATACATAGGATTGCTTTGCCTGTGAGGACAGAGCCAAGAATGGAGGGGTATGCGGAGTGAAATATGTGCCCCAGAAGAGATTTTGAACTGCCTGCTTTTCTCCCCAGAAGTTTTGATGGGTGGTGGTCCTTATCCTTAGTTTGTTGTTGTTGTTGTTGTTGTTAGTTGCGAAGTCATGTCCAACCCATTGCGACCCCATGGACAACATTCCTCCAGGCCTTCCTGTCCGCCACAATCCCCCGGAGTCCACTGAAGCTCACATCAACTGCTTCAGTGACTCCATCAAGCCACCTCATTCTTTGCCATCCCCTTCTTCTTTTGCCATCTATTGTTCCCACCATTAGGCTCTTCTCCAGGAAGTCCTTCCTTCTCATTAAGCAGCCAAAGTATTTGAGTTTCATCTTCAGTATCTGGCCTTCTAAAGAGCAGTCAGGGTTGATCTCCTCTAGGACTGACCAGTTTGATTACCTTGCGGTTCAAGGGACTCACAGGAGTCTCCTCCAGCACCACAATTCAAAGGCCTCAATCCTTTGGCACTCAGCCTTCCTTATGGTCCAACTTTCACAGCCATACATTGCAACTGGGAAAACCATAGTCTTGACTATATGTACTTTTGTTGGCAGGGTGATATCTCTGCTTTTTAGTATGCTGTCTAGATTTGTCATAGCTTTCCTCTCCAGGCACAAGGGTCTTTTAATTTCTTGGCTGCAGTCCCCGTCTGCAGTGATCTTGGAGCCCAGGAAAATAAATTCTGTCACTACCTCCATTTCTTCCCCATCTATTTGCAAGGAAGTGAGAGGACCAGATGCCATGATCTTCGTTTTCTTAATGTTGAGTTTCAAGCCAACTTTTGCACTCTCCTCCTTCACCTGCATCAAGAGGCTCTTTAGTTCCTCTTCACTTTCTGCCATTGGAGTGGTATCATCTGCATATCTGAGGTTGTTGATATTTCTCCCAGCAATCTTAATTCCAACTGGTGATTCATCTAGTCCAGCCTCTCTCATGATGTGCTCTGCATATAATTTAAATAGGCAGGGCAACAGTATACAGCTTTGCCGAACTCCTTTCTCAGGAGTCTTTCTTTTCACTGAACCAATCAGTGGTTCCATGTCCAGTTCTCACTGTTGCTTCTTGACCCGCATATAGGTTTCTCAGTCCACATACTGCTGGAGCCTAGCTTGTAGGATTTTGAGCATCACTTTGCTAGCATGTGAAATGAGTGCAGTGGTGCGGTAGTTTGAACATTTCTTGGCATTGCCCTTCTTTGGGATCGGAATGTAAACTGACCTTTTCCAATCCTGTGGCCACTGTTGAGTTTTCTAAATTTGCTGGCATATTGAGTGTAGCACTTTTACTGCATTTTCTTTTAGGATTTTGAATAGTTCAGCTGGAATACTGTCACCTCCACTAGCTTTATGGTTGCTCAGACTTCCTAAGACCCATTTGACTTCACATTCCAGGATGTCTGGCTGGAGGTCAGTGACCACCCCATCGTGGTTATCAGGGAC